CCCCATTGCTTCAGGCCAAAAACAAAGTGAATTATATGTATGTTCTATATTTTACAATAATTTACAATAATTTACAATCCAGTCAATAAGAATTTCATAGTTCAATATACAACTAGTTCAATAAAAAGAAAAAAAAACATACCCAATACTTCTCTTGTTTTCCAAATTGGAATAACAATAGGAATAATACTCTTAACTCTCTGATCAACAACACCAACAAGATTTGTCGTCCAACCTCTCTTTGAAGCACCAGCAACATGAAAATCTTCAACCTTAATATTAAGATTTTTCAATAAATATTCTTGAACTAAATCCATAGCAAATAGAGTTGACTTGACCATTGGAAGTCTTGGAATCCATTCAGTATTACTTTTCAATTCATCATTTTCCTGTGTTAAATTCATAAATCTTGCCCAAGCAAATGCTAAAATTGCATCTTCAACTCGACTCTTCTTTTCTGGATCTGATAAGAAAGTGAGTGGTTGATTTGGAATTTGATGAATGGTACAAACAATTGATTTTGTTAAAACACCCATTTGAATTAATTCCTTGTCAAGTGTTGGAACTTGTGAATTTGATGATCCACCTGCAATTAACATGAGTGCTTGTTTAGTTTGAGTTATTTGATAGGGAACAACAATTTCAACAAAATGATACCACTCACTACGTGACACTTCCTTGTTAGTTAACCATTTGACACTTGTCATGTTAAATACATAAAATTTAGCAGTGTTTGGAATGTCAACCGAATTTAAAAGTTGATATTTAAAATTTTCATTAGAACGATCTTTCATATAGTCAAAAATTACTTGATGATAATTAATGTCATTATTGACATGAGAAGTGACAGGATGATTATTTAATGATACACATGTTGCCATGTTAATGATCATTAAAAATATGGCAATAAATGTAATCAACTTCATTGTTAATGATGAATTAACTTGTTGCATTTTTTTTTAACAAATCGTCCTTCTAAAAAAATGCCTCAACATGACCACCCTCCGGATACGGAAGGGAGTACTCTGCTCGCTAACAGAATCTTTGTGTTAGAGAGAGCATTAGAAACCTCCCAAAAGGAAAACACATGTCTCCGGGAATCTATTCAAAATTTTGTAAATATTATAAGCGACCACATACTAAATAATAATAATAACGGTCCAATCACACTTGTAAATAATCTAATGGATGAGGCAAATAAGTTTACATCTATTACACAAAAAAGTGGAAATCCATCAAATGATGGAAATCTATCAAATAATAGAAATCTATCAAATTGTGGAAAAACTACTGAATCGGAAATTATTCCAGATGACAGTGGTAAAACTAAAAATAGACCTGCTACATATTCAGAAATAACAAGGTCAACTCCTATTAAAAGTCAACCAAATATTAAAAAAGTAATAGCTAAACAAAACACAGCAACTAATAAGATGAAAAGAAATATGGCTACTAATTATAAATCTAATAAGCGTAGATTAACTACAAATCCTAATCTAATTATTAATGTTATCTGCTATAAAGATGCAACTAATGAATTAGTTGAACAAATTTCAGACCTCCTTGATAACTTTCCCCCAGTCAGGATTAATCGTTATTGTAAAAATGTTATCAATGTCATTTGTACTAATGACTCTGACTATAAGCAATATTTTAATATTTTAAATGAATGTGTTGTTGATAGGAAATTTGTATTAGAATGTTTCCCATCTCCAGCAATCTTTACTCCAAAACCTCTTGCTTTATGTCATTCTACTAGTTCCAAAAATATTCATTATAGACTATTGGAAAAAATTATTGAATATTATATTATTGAAAAGGGAATTAATGTTGAAGGATTATATACCAACTATTCCCATAAACAATATATTACTAGAATATCATTTGATAATGAGAAAACGTGCTCTGAACTTGCTTCAGCTCTTGATTTACAACACTATAAAACAGTAGAGCAAATCAGAAGTGAACAAAAGAGACAACATCTCAATGCACATTCCCTATTCAATTTACTGATAA